TTAGGGTTTAGGATTTAGGATTTAGGATTTAGGGTTAGGGTTTAGGATTTAGGATTTAGGGTTTAGGGTTTAGGGTTTAGGATTTAGGGTTTAGGATGTAGGATTTAGGATTTAGGGTTTAGGGTTTGCATGTCGGTTCTCTTTGCTACCGGCTTCTGGACTTCCCCCAGGGTCCAAGTACCTCATTATCACGAAGCCTGGAAAATAGTCACCTACCTAAACCCAAAACCCTAAAGCCTAAACCCTAATTCTCACATAGTCCACAAAATAGTATCCACCTAAACTCTGAAGCCTAAACCCCAATTATCACATCGTCTACAAAATAGTAGCCTACATGACTACTCTCCCAAACCCGAGCAGCTATTGGATCTTTCGGACCCTCAAAGCCAAGGGGTTGAGCAAAGTTACGGTTGATGATATAAATCCTGCATCCATCGTTTAGGGTGCTAAGGATTTCTATCATCAACAGTAGGGTATAGGGTTATATACCCCTTCTTAGTGTTAAGGGTTTAGGGCTGTTCGGGTATCAGGTCTTGGTTGGTTAGGTTGATGTAGGGTGGAGGGTTCAGGGGTTTAGGGTTTTTTTGGGTTTCAGGGTTTTAGGGTTTCAGGGTCTTAGGTTTTAGGGTTTAGGGTTCAGTTTGCCCGAAATCCTGAAGGTTGCGGCCTGATTGAATTCTGAGAGCCTGCGTCGGTTCTTACACAGTGGTGCCAGAGCTTGGCCTAAGCCCCAACCTCTGCAACTAAGCCGCACCTAAACCCGAACCCGAAGCTGGACATCCACCTTAGGGTTTAGGGCTTAGGGTTTACGGTTTAGGGTTTAGGGGACCTTCCTCCTCCCTAAACCCTAAACCCTAAGCCCTAAACCCTAAACCCGGCTCAAGGCTCCCCGTGTCCGTGTCCCCGCTGTTCCTTGCATGTGCGCGTGCCGGGGTCTGGCCTGATCGCTCGCTTCGGTCTGATTCTCGGCATCCTCGCGCCGGTGTGCGGGAGAAGAAGGCCCTGAACTTCTCCCTTTACCTGATTCGCCGCAAGAGCAGGGTGAGGTTTGCGGGATATGGGGGACAGGCTGAAAGACAAGTCGAACAAGCAGCGTGTGCAGCTGGGCCTCGATCCCACGGATGTCCCTGTGCCGATTGATGAAGATGGTGAAGAAGGGGTGGAAGGCCTTCCGACGAGTCCCGGCCAAAAGAGAGCTGGGGTCGAGATGGCCGGGGCCAGAAAGGGAAGCCGCACAGATGGTAAGGGCGAGAGCAAGACGATCACGCTGGATGTTGACAGTCTTCGGGCGCTCCTTCGAGAGCAAAGTGATGAGTTGCTCGGTCGTCAACGGGAGCAATTAGACGCGGCCATCGGTGACCTGGAGGGGCGAACCTTGGCTCGCGTAGAAGCAGTGCAGGACCAGGTCCAGGGGCTCACGGGGCGACAGGTGGACCTGGAGGGCAAGGTTGAGAGCTTAGAGAAGGGATTGGCCGAATTGACGGACCTGGTGCGCAACGGAGGGCGCGCCGCGGATGTGACCACCAGGGATGCATTGGACGAGAAGAGGAAGACCACACTGGTGGTAGGGGGCTGGCCGAAAGACTCCAAACGACGACTCATCCTCCACGATCTTCAGCAAGCCATTGAGGCCCTCGGCTTGCAGGGTGCGATCACGGGGGAGCCCTTCGTTACTGGACCCAGGAGATCCGTAGCCTTGGTTCCGATGCCGAAAGCGCCGGGGGAATCTGACCAACATCACCGAGATAGGATGTTCGGTGTGGTTCAGAAGTTCTCAGGGTCTGAAGTACTCACTAAGGACGGGGCAAAGCTGTGGTGTGCCTTCTCGAAGACTCAGGAACAGCGAATCATCTCAGGACATGCTGCGCTTCTCAAGCGTGTGGTTACCGCAGCAGGTCAGGCCGCGGGTGACCTCTTGGACTTCGAATGGAAGACGGGGACAACATGGTCCGACGAGGGCATGGTGGGAAGCGCCTGCCTCCCGGTCCCACCAGGGGTGGACATGAGGAAGGTGGTGGTCTTCGAGGAGACCACACAAAAGCACTGGGTCGACCTCACACTTCTATCCCGCCTGACGAAGAGGCTAGTCAAAGAAACTGCTCAGCTTGTGGAAGAGCAGAAGCGCTGACCAGCCGGCCATGAGTCTACGAATTTATACGACCACCTCGAGACCTCTCAGAGAGAGTTTTTGTGCTCGGGGATGCAGGAACCCTGTCACCCTTTGGCCTTTTCGGTGGACAGGGAAGTATGTACAGATGGTCAGAATGATATCCTTGAATTCAAAGTCAATGGTTGGAATGTTGGAGGTTGTGAAATCAGCGACCTCGAGCAGCACTTCCGAGATGGTTGTGAGTGTTCCCTTTCAGCGGACTCTTTGCTGACCTTGCAGGAGCTGCCGCGGGATAAAGCAGGGTGGTCCAAGCAGGTCCATGGGGCCTGGACAGTCGTGTGTCACAGAGCAGATCAGATGTGGAGAGGAGTGGGGATTGGATACAGAGACAGTGAGTGGGCACTACTCCGTCGTGCATGGTCGGGCAGAGGGGTCTGGGTACAACTCAAACACCTGTCGAGTGATGTGCGTGTCTGGGTCGGGACGGCACACTTCACCCCTGGATGCAGTTTGGCACAATACGAAGGTGAGGTGGATGAATGTCTGCGCGGACTGCCAGCACACAGTGGCCCCACTGTTTTTCAATGTGATGCCAACGCGCCTTTTCATTGGGGACTCTGTGATGGGATTGTGAGTCCGGCGGGCAGGGACGTCAAAGCTAATGAGCTGCATGGCATGCTTTTGCACAAAGGGTTGGAGATGGTTCCTCCCATGCGCGAATATATGAACACGCCCACAAGTCGGCCAAGACAGGAAGGAAGGAATGGTCACATTATTGATGTCTTTGCATGCAAGAGAGTGGTCAGGGGACAGGTGATGGTGCATGTTGATTCGTCCAGGGTTTTAGGAACGGACCACGAAATCATCTCGAGCCCATTTCATGTGAGGGCGAGACGGATACATCAGAGACACAGTACCAAGCCCAGAGTGTGGACAGGTGGTTGCCAAGGTCTTTCTCATGTTGATCAGCACACCCTTATGCAGCTTGCAAGAACATGCACAAGACCCAAGCCGGGCTATGCCTACAAAGACCCCCCTGAAGTGAAGCGCGCTGCCAGGCGAGCGAGGGTATGTAAGACGCCGGCGGCGTGGAAGGAGGTCCGCAAATTACGTAAGCAAGCCCGACGGCTATGGGAGCAACAGAGGGTCTTGAGAGCAACGTCGGGAGATTGGGCAGCCTTCAGAACGTGCAAACCACAGGCGGACTCAGCATGGGTTGAGGGATTTGCGGCATCTCAGGAGGGCGACCCACATCAGGCAGTGCACGACCGCCTCACTCAAGTGTATGCTGGGGTTCCCCCGCTTCCTAACCAGGGACCGCCCGTCGGGGAGGTGCAGGGATTTACAGAGGAGGAATTGGACAGAGCTCTGGAGCAGATGCAACCAGGCAAGTCTGTTGGCAGTGACGGGACAAGCAAGGAACTGCTGGTTGGGCTTTGTGGACTAGAAGGGGGCAAATCTTTACTGCTCGAGTTCCTCACTCGGGTCTTGACGACGCAGGAAATTCCTGAACAGTGGAATGTCCCCCTCATGATCCTTTTACCCAAACTTACACAGCCACTAGCTCCGAAGGATCTGAGACCGATTTCAATGAGCTCAGCAATCAGCAAACTGTTCTCTCGTCTCCTTCTCAACCGATGCTTGACACGCCTTTCGTTGTCTACGCATGCCCAGTGCTCTGGACCTGGAAGGCAGACTTCGGATTATGTTTTTGCAATCTGGAGGGTGCTGGAACTAGAACGTGAATGGCACCGAGGGCTCTGTGTAGCCAAGTTGGATATCTCCAAAGCATTCGACACTGTTTCGAGGGAAAGGATCCTGGATAAGCCAGAGGCTGGGAGATACACCTGAAATGCGTTGTTGGCGTGGGTTGCTACAGCAGAACTATGGGATCCTTCAAAGCCCTTGGGGGGTGTCGAAGGTTCAAATGCAACAGGGAATCAAGCAAGGCTCAGTTGAGTCGCCTCATCTCTTCGCCCTCATTGCTGAGCTGTGTCTAGCTGAGACGGTTGAGAGGTACAAGTGGAGGGATCAACAGCAAGTTTTTGAGGGCATGGAATACCAAGACATGCTTTACATGGATGACTGTTTGTTGTGGGGTCGTGGTACTCAAGGCATCGAGCAACGCATCAGGCAGTTCCAGGTTCTGCTGTCCGAATATGGCTTGTCGCTCAACGGTCGTAAGTGCCAACTCCTGGTTTCCCCCCACTGGTCAGGGCCCACACATATCAGTATCTCTGGGGTCAGGGTGCATGCCTCGTCACATCTTGAAGTTATGGGCTTGGACATGAGGGTGGGCATGAGCATGACAGAGCTGATTGGGCCCCTGCTGGCGAGAGCTCGGAATAAATTCTGGGCCAACAAGCACCTGCTCAGATCGAACACGCCGCTTCGTCAACGCATTCACCTTTTGGAAAGGACGTGTGGGGGGGCAGCGCTTTGGTGTGTTGCGGCGTTACCGCCGGATCGCAGCGCGTTAGGAATCCTGAATGCTTGTCAGATGCAGCTGGTCTTCTGGGCGATGCGACTGGGCAAACGCTCGGGTGAGGGCTGGGATAGCTTCCACAAAAGAGCATACCGCTCAGCTCGCTCGGCAATTCACGCTGCTGGACTTGAACGATGGGGAACAACATGGTTGCGCAGGTGGTGGCGGTTTTCCGGGCACAGAGCGCGAGGACAACTCAGGGCGGCGCCGCCCATAAGCTCCCATCTAGACGGCTTTCGGACGTTAGAATGGTGGCAAGCAGAGCAGCGAAAGAGGGACGGCCTCCAGCATGCGCGTCACTACCCCAAACTGATGAACATGGAAAGAGCAATGGATGCTGGGGCTCGTGGGGCGTGGCGTGTGGTGGCACAGGACAGACAACTATGGAGGGAGAGGGAACAGGGTTTTGTTGACAGACTTGACCTTCCTTGGGCCAGTGGAAGACAGACTCAAATCCTCAACACACAGTAAAGAGTACCCAGGGTATACAGACCATGTGCATGACTTACACACGTCTCCTTTGCCTTCCTGATGTGACCGAGTTGCAGTACAAGCAAGGGTTCTGTCTGGGTGTGAGCTAGGCGCGAATGAAGGCTTTTCTGAACTGCAGCTGCGGCTCCCGCTTGGACCGGGCACTGGTCCGACTCAGGTAGCGCTCCTTTCCGTATTTTCAGTGATCTCAACATGAAGCTGCGCCGCTCCTTGGGACTGGCAGCCAGCGCTGGCCTTCTGGCCAAACTTTTCATGATTCAAGGTGCCCCTAGCGTGCTAGGGTTTTCAAACAAAACCGTGGTCGGGGACCATCAGGCCTGCACCTGGACAACAACAACGGGCGGAGTGGCACCGCCCCGGCAGGAAGATGCCTTGACCCGCAGTCGACCGACTCACCACGATGCCCTGGAGACAGCGGACAAAAGCTCAGAGTGGAGAACATGAGGGGAAGACTGAGCTTTGGATCCCTCTTGGGCTACGGACTTCTGCGACGACACCGACTCGCACCTGCACAGCACCGGCTAGCTCCCCTGCTCTACCTGGAGACGGTCGGCGGAAGAACGACCCCCAGAGGCTCACCGACTACCCGATTCACCCCGAGAACCTTGGCAGCCCCCACTTCCTCCCTGCAGGAGAACGACCGCAGAATCGGCACCAGAACCTCGTCGATGACCTGACGCACCTCGGCGACCGGGACCACAACCAGTTCCAACACCGCCGGGAGGGCCGGGAAGCCTGGACAGCCGACCTATCGGGGATGGCTGGATCCTGGGATGCGGCCTGTCTTATGCAAGCCTCACTGGTGACCGAAGGAGACCGCGGCGGGTCTGAAGATCGACTTGCTCAGCTCAACTTGGACAACCTCCGAATGATCAGAGACCTCCTCAGAAATCGTCGACCTGGTCAATTGCGTCTTGGCATCCTGGGCGGGATCAGAGAGTGCAGATGCCCCGGATTTGACTCCTTCACGTCACAGCTGCTCCGACAGGTATGGGACGAACAAGCGGATCCGACCGCTCTCTGTGCTCGGCCCGGACTTGAAGAAGACCAAGAATGGATGGAGGACGTGGTTCGGAACCTTTGGGAGTGGTTTCAGGCACTGGAACCGGAACAGGCCGAGCTCAGACACCCAGATGCAACGCATGCACCTCGAGGACCACCCCCACCTGAACCAGTTCACCCGCTTCCGACACAGAATGAGGAGACTGAGGATGACGGGTCCGATGACGCAGTCTGCGATGCAAACATCGACGGACTTGCACGACGAGCCGGACCGAGCGTGGGAGGTTGAAGCCTTGGAGATACGCGATGACATCTCAATGATGCTCAGAAATATGGTTCAAAATGATGAAACAGGAGAGGCCTGCAATGCGGCGGGCCAAATTTACCGGCACATTGAGGGGGCCGACACCACCACGACAGGGTCGCTACAGTGGGTATCGGTCTTGCTTCGCCCAGAGCTGAACAGATACATCCTTCGAGTTAACAGGCCGTATGAGTACGAGCTGGATGAGGACATGCAGGGCTGGGTTCAGCAGACCCTGGCAAATATCGACAAATGCGCTTGGCACAAGGACCAGGGGGTATTGGCCTTCAGGGAGCGACGTAAGAGGCGAAGGGCATCCATGTTCCAGCAACCGGGAAGCACTGCGCAAACCCCGCCAGCCGGTGCTGACGTTGTTCATGAAGAGGCATCCAGCTCTGGTGCAACTTCCAGCCAAAGGGGCTTAGGGACGTCTACAACCCAACCTCGACATGATGGGGACGGCGATGCAGTGGATGGTGCCTGCCTTATGGCGGGTGGCAGGCCGAGACGCTCTCGCTCACCGGTCCGCCGCGGAGGCGGAGGGGGGAGCGCTGGCAGTGCTGGCAGCTCTGATCGTGGAGGGCCTTGGCGAGATTGGAATAATGAGGAGAGCTGGGACCGGAGTGCGCCAAGAACAACCACCAGCCATCGAGTACTGACACCGCGGGTGCGCAGGGAGGGCAGTGCTCCGTCCAGCTCCTCACGAGACACGAGGCCACGGTATGAGTGTACCACGCCGAGAGCCACACCACCGGTCGACCCGGCTGCGCCGACACCTCTGACTACCCTGGAAGCTGTGGACTTGTGGAGGCAGCTCTTGGGGATTTCAAACAGCCCCGCCATGGGGGAAATGGACCGGGCAGTCCAACAAGGCGGGCGAGCACTTGGCAGAGATTGCTCCGACAACATGGTTGACACGTTGCGGGAGATGGATGCCCACGATTTGTCGATGATGACGGTAGGGCTCATTGACCTCATGAGGAGACTCATGATGGAATGTGCTCAGATCCTCAGCTATGCCAGAAATGACATGGTGGAAGTGGAGGTTGAGACAGCTGAGCCCGACCACCAGTCGCTCATGCAGGGTCCTTCGCGGCCGCAAGGGCAGCAGGACTTGGGCGCACCTACTTCGGCCACGGTCCTCACAGACCTTCGTGATGAACTTCAGCGGCTCCAGGGTCTCGGCTGGGACGTGGGTCCACATGTCTCTGGCTTAATACGTCGAGTTCGCTCCTACCGCATCGCCATGGGCAACTGTGAACTCCTGGACCTCCTCGACTCGCTTCTTATCACCTTTGCGGGCGAAGGGATTGCCCAGGAGGACGATGACAGCTCACGACCGGTACTTGACTGGCTTCAACGATGGTGACCCAGAGTTTGCTCAGGATGTCCCTCCTCGTCTGCAGGGTCCACGCAGGTGCTCACCCACATCGTGGACACGCAATTGGATGAAGCAGACGAAATGGTGCGAGAAGAGCAACGCCATGATAAGGAGCTGGCGGACCTTGCGCGCATCCGTGACCTGGAGCAAGCGGCTCACGAGAAGGAAGAGGCAGAATGGGAAGAAGCGATGCAAGTGGCCTGCGAGGAGCATCGCCATGGTCGTGCTGAAAGCTCTGTGGATCCGGACGAATCCACATGGAAAGCGAAATGGATCGGATCGAAGAGATGTACCGAAATGCCAGACGACGGAGGCGGGCCCCAACGGACTGGAGGGCCTGGGACAATTGGGCTCTCTTCGATGAGATGGTCCAACCTCGTGCACGGCATCGGCGATGGGTGGAGGTGGATGTGGCACCGACAAGGGATGGACCAGGGGAGGCCAAGCGCCTCAAACTGCCCATTCCGCGGGTCTGCGGGTTACAGGTGGAGGTGACGGCTGCGAGAGTGGTTACTAGTGGTCCTACTCCGTCGAATACCTCGTCTACGGTTCCGGCGGCGGACTTGGGAGTGACGGCCGACCCGCAGTGTAGCAGTCAGCCAGCGGTACCTCATGTCTTGGAGTATGCCGACTACTCAGAGCAACTGGAACGTTACCGTCGGGGTGAAGTTTCGGGTTCGTACATCGAGGCGATGTGGGGAGAACAGGTATGGGACCTTATGCAAGCTCAGATGGAGATTGAACGACTGGAACACGATTCAGTACCTCAGGGAGATGGTCATGGGCTTGCAGGGGTGGATGCTCAGGGAGGTGACGACAATGCACAGGGTCAGGATGATGCTAGCGAGAACGTGCAGGGTGTTCGGTCTGCAAATGGTCTGCCTGCATCTTCGGCATCTACAAACAATGGAGGGAGCTAACGCCAGGTCGAGTCCCAGGGTGCTATGGTGAGAGGGATGCTATGGTGAGGGATGCCACAGAGTTAAGTATTTTATGTTTTCGCGGGGTCCGAAACGGGGACCTGCTGCCTGCCCGCAAGGGTGAGACGCTTTGCTACGCTTGGCAGTCATCAAAAGGCCTTTAAAAAAAAAAAACCCTAAACCCGAGCCCGAGCTTCTACCTGCAGCACCCCCAACCTCTAGAACCCCAAACCCTGAACCCGGTTCACACCAAGCCTTTGGACCTATCACAAGCCCTAAGCCCTAAGCGCCAAGCCCCGAAACCTTAAACCCTAAACTAAACCCTAAACCCTAAATCCTAGACCCTAAAACCCTAGACCCGAAACCCTAAAACCCTAAAGCCCTAAACCCTAAAACCCTAAACCCCAAACCCCAAAATCTTAAACCCCACATCCTCCAGACATCCCGCCGGAGAGGCTTTCGGCCGCCACGGCCGAGACGCTGGAGCTGAGCAGCCCCCTTAGGGTTTAGGGTTTAGGGTTTAGGGTTTAGGGTTTAGGGTTAGGGTTATGAGAGCCTTTGGGTTTAGGGGTTTAGGGTTTAGGGTTCAGGGCTTAATTAGGGGGAGCCTTAGGATTTAGGGCTTTGGTTTGAACAGGCTTGGGTAGGATATCAGGTTGGGCTTCTACTACTTCGCATTTATTTGGGAGGCTAGAGGTTCAAAGTCAAGGAGTGTCTCGGTTTAGTAGGATTAGCTTCAAGTTGAACGGTGTAGATTTGTTTGAGAGCTTTGGTTTCAGGTGTGGGGTGCATGGGTAGAGGTTTAGGGTAACAGGGGACTCACAGGTTTTCCGTTTACAGCTCTGGGCGGGTGGTTTGGTACTTTAATCCTTGGGGCCCGGCTTAGCGTTTGGATGAGGGTCAGCTTCGGGCAACTGCATACAGGGCTTCAATCTCGTCCGGCAATTTCGCGACCCGCTTCTCGATCTTGACCCTCAAGGAACACTAACTAGAGCCTCAAGCCTAAAACCCTAAGCCCTAACCCTTAGCATCAAAATAGCCCAAAAGCCTTAAAATATGAGTCCTTCGATGCTAAGGGTAACCCCTGAACCCTAAACCAAAACGAGCCCTAGGCCCTAAACGCACAAAGCACCGCCGAACCCTAAGCTAAACCGTCAACTCGAAAGTCGCTAGGGCCGGGTTTAGGGTTTAGAGGGGTTAGGGGTTGAGGGTCAGGGTTTAGGGTTTAGGGTTTAGGGTTTAGGGTCGAGCCGGAAGCCTGGCAACTTTCGGCCTAAGAGGTCAGAGCAGTCGCGATCTTGTCTATGCCAGGCAGGAGGGCATGGTTTCTCTGTTGAGTTTGGGGAACTAGAAACCTTTGTGAGTTCACGGTTCGGTAGCGTGTTTCGGTTCTAGGTCCAGGGTTTAGTGTTTTGAGTTTGGGCTTTTAGGTTGAGGTATGCCTTAGGGGTGCAAGGTATCAGGGAATTGGAGGTTTTTGCACGATCTGGGTCGATTTGAGGGCTTTGTTGGTTTGTACAATGGGTTTGCAGAAGGTTGTCGGTGTCCTCATCATGATCCTACTACGACTGAGAAGTTTAACCTGATTTAATTTTGGCGATGGGGAACCAACCACTAGGGTTTTTTCATCCCAAGGGTACCCCGAGTCGCATCTCAGACAGTCAAAGGTGCCCACAAGAGTTGCCTCCAGTGGCCACTCGCGGGATACATGCGAAAGCAGTACGGGTGATTTGTGGGCTCCAGGTGGAACTTGCTAGGCTGCTACACCCTAACTAAAGCCCAGACACTGGCCCTAAACCCGTAAACCTAAGTCCAAAATTCTATACCCTACACCCTGAACCCTAGACTCTAGACCCTCAACCCTAAACTCTAAACCCTAAACCCTGAACCCTGCACCCTCAAGCAACCCCCTAAACCCTGAACCCTAAACAATTCCCCGCGCAGCATTAATGCGCGAAAGTCCTGGCAAGGGGCTCGGCCCAGACAGTAATGGCACACTGTTACTGGGTGGGACCGGGAAGCGAGAAACCCGGATTGGACGGAGGGGTGGGCCGTCCAGCGGACGACGACGTATGATTTAACCAGGTGCGGTGGCTCCTGCGAGCCACTTCGCTTGGGGCGGATGTGAAAGACGTTGAGCTAGATCTCGTGGTCAGTCTTCCGGGAGTGATCACCAGTTCGCTGAGTAGGTGCAACATCCACACTTTCTGCGGCGCACAGCCAGTGACGCCTAGGAATGTGGGACCGCAGGCCAGCATCTGGAGGTGACAAGCGCAATTGATTGCACGAGTCGAGAGTGACGCTGACACGCTCGTTCAGGCGGGCGTGCCTCTTCCAAACTTGGAGTCAATCACAGAGGAGACTCTGGCTTTGCTTGGCGTGACAGCCCTAAGCCCAAAACCCTCATAGCAAGGAGCCTGGATCGTATACCCGTGTAACCCAAAGTAGTAATGCAGGAGCCTGAGTTATTAATTAGTAATCGTATGCCTTCATACTTCGTTTAAGTTGTAACGGAGCAGTTCCTTACAACCCGGAAGGTGAGGTTTTTAAAATGCACGTGAGACATCTTCACCTGCTCAGAAGCAAAACCCACAGAATGCAGATATCCTTTCATCAAGTCCTTGCACCCGACCCCAAAACCCTTAATCCCAAACCCTAAACTTCCCTCAGCCCTAAACCCTAAACCCTGAACCCTAAACCCCAAACCCCTAAAACCCTAAAACCCTAAACCCTGAATTTTTGGGGTGTTGGGCACCCCGAAACCCTGAACCCTCAAGCCGATAATTTCATGCCCGAACAGCTACATTGAAGGGTGCTTTAGGGATTTAGGGCCTTGAGGCTTCAGGATTTAGTAGGGACAAGAGAGCCCAGTACCCTTCGCTTCAAGAGACTACTGAGAGTCACCATTCAGGATTCAGGGTGTGCAGGGTGTTCAGGGCTTTCGGGATTAGGGGAAAAGCTGTTTCTGGCACCTGCGGTGGTTTGGGCTCCTTGTTTTTTAGGGTTTTTCAGCTTCTCCAGATGACTTCGGAGACTCTCATCTGCTGGTTTCGGTGTGGTCTTTTTATGGATGGCGGCTCGGTCTTCAATCTGGGCTTTGGGATGAGGGGTTCCCGAAAGCTTGAGCCCTGCGCGGACAGTGCGTTTTGTCGGATCTCGCCGCGCCACTGTCTACGAAGGAACCCTTATGTTCCTTTAGCTGGCCATGACAGAGAGCTGGGCGATATAAGCCTTTGTACAAGATGCCCGGAAATGGTAGCACACTTCTGGTCTAGAATGTTGTCGCTTCAGCTGCCTCTTCGATGACTGTCATCGCCACCTACTTCTAGTAAAAGGTTTCTATACCCCACCACAATCGGAATACGGAATACTTGGCACACAGTAATGCAGGCGCACGAATACCAACACTCGTCCGTCCGACATCATCATCTCGATTTTTAGCTTCCCACATGGCTGGCGAGTGGTCCGAGCATCAAGACGCCGCAACTGGAAAGAGCTACTACTCCAACAAGCTTACCAAAGAGACTACCTGGGAGCGCCCCCAGGCCCTCGTCAAGGCTGATTGGCTGGAGCTCAAAGATCCGGATAGTGGGAAGAGTTACTACCACAACAAGTTCACCAACGAGACGTGCTGGCAGCGGCCGGCGATACTGGCGAAGGATGACTGGGCGGAGCACACGGATCCGAAAACGAATAAAGCTTTTTATTTCAACAAGCTCACTCAAGAAACCACCTGGGAGAGGCCCGCTGTATTGGCTCGGGATGACTGGGCAGAGCACAAGGACCCAGCAACTGGGAAGATATTCTATTCAAACAAGCTCACTGGCGAGACGTCTTGGGACAGGCCGATAGTCCTTGCAAGAGAAGACTGGGTCAAGCACACAGATCCGAAGACGAATAAGACCTTCTACGTCAACCAGCGCACCCAGGAGACCACTTGGGACAAGCCATCTGTGCTTGAAAAGGATGAGTGGGTTGAGTACAAGGACCCGGCGACTGGACAGATGTATTTCTGCAATAAGGTCACGAGAGAAACAACATGGGAAAAGCCAGCCGTGCTTGCGAAAGATGATTGGTCTGAGCACAAGGATCCAACGTCTGGGAAGACGTGCCCAGATTCACTGTCAAGCCCTAACCTGCCCTAAACCCTAAACTTTCAAGCAGTTTCATTTTGGATAGATGTGTTTTCTTTTCGGTTTTCTGTATACTTGCAAGCCCAAGCCCAGACGGTTAGCAAACCTCAACAAGTCATGATCCAATACTTCTAGAGTTTAGGGTGACTCCAAGGTATTACTGCAACAGGCTCACCAAGCAGACTTGCTGGGAGAGGCCGGCGGTACTTGCCAAGTGTGACTGGGTCGAGTACAGCGACGCAGCTACGGGCAAGACCTGGTACTACAACAAGCATACTGAAGAGACTTCATGGGAGACTGGGCTCTTGTTGAAGAACTAAGTGAATGCTGTCATAGTTGGAGCCGCATATTTAAGTTTATGTGTGTGTGTGCATATATATATATATATATAAAATGTATCTACAGATATATGCACATATTGGACAAGACTATGCCTGTCTCTTCGTATATGCTAATGCTGGTTCATGTCCCAGAGCCCAGGAGAAGCCAGCCGTGCTTCGAAACGTTGATGCATCCGAGCACACTCCGGCACCGCAGTTCCCTGAAAAGCCGGCACGGCCCAAAGAGGCCGAGATCAACAAGCCGTCATCGCAACCAGAAGTTCAATCTGCCCCACAGGCCGGATGACGCGGTTAGGATTTGGTTTAAGGCTTAGGGTTTAGGGTTTAGGCTTAGGGTTTAAGGGTTAGGTTTGGGACAGGCGAATGTCAGGGCGTGATCACGAGATTGGAAGAATTAGGAATACTCATTTCCTGTACATGATAAATTGGAGCACCCGGTTCCCTAAACCCGAAACCCCAAACGATTCCTTCAGCGCCCGGTCTCAATCTGCCGAGGCAGTCCCAGTCAAATCCAAGGACCTGGGAGACAGGGTTCAGGGTTTAAGGTTCGGGCGTTTGGGCTAGGGTGTTTGAAGTTGTTTTAGGGTTTAGGGCCTCAGCCCTAAATCCTAAACCCTTAGGGGCTAGGGATTCTGAAGTCGGGTTTGGGATTCAGGTCGCGGTTTGGGGTTTGGGCTCGGCGAGCGCCTGCCTCGGAGGTTCTGTCGTTGCCTTCACCGGACCTTCGTCCCGGTGGGGGGTTTAGGAGGCACAGAATGAGAAGTTGCTGTGCCCGAACAGAACCCCAGGCCCAAAACCTCAAAACCCCAAGCCCTCGCAAGCATTAACTCAGCATCTAACATCTCAACAGCGTCCACAGCCCCGAAAAACCAAGACAGTAATCCCCGCAAAACCCTAGTAACACTCCTAATGGTCCTAGTGAGATGCAGTAGAATCCTGGTCCTTGCCATATAGAAATTCAACAGGGCCCCAATATACTGGGTTCTTGTTAAAGGATTTTATTTAAGCTACCATAATAGGGATCTATAGTAAATAATAGGGTTTCCTTATTGTGGTAACT